GAAAGCACCGTTTCACACATATGTTGTTCACATGAACACGATTTTATTCATATGAACATCATGTGAAGAAATTTCATTCATATGTCAATCATGTGAAGAAACCTTGCATTCACATGATTATCACATGAAAAAAACTGCACCACATATGAATTCATATGTTAATATTCATACAAGAAACAACAAACTCATGAATTCATGTGTCCTAATGCAAAAGGAACAAAGCCAACATATGAAGTCATGTGTCTTAATTAAAAGCAAAGCAACCACACATATGAATTCATGTGTTGTCCTGTGCCAAACAACAGAACAACACATGACTTCATATGTTGTCCTGTGAAAACAAGAGAACACCACATGAATTCATGTGTTATCCTGTGCCAAACAACAGAACAACACATGACTTCATGTGTGGTCCTGTGAAAACAAAGGAACACCACATGAATTCATGTGTCGTCCTGTCCTGTGACTATCACACACCCACCCACACACACACACACACACACACACCCACACACACCCACACACACACACACCCACACACCCACACACCCACACACCCACACACCCACACACCCACACACCCACACACCCACACACCCACACACCCACACACCCACACACACACCCACACACCCACACACCCACACACCCACACACCCACACACCCACACACCCACACACCCACACACCCACACACCCACACACCCACACACCCACACACCCACACACCCACACACCCACACACCCACACACCCACACACCCACACACCCACACACCCACACACCCACACACCCACACACCCACACACCCACCCACACACCACACACCCACACACCCACACACCCACACACCCACACACCCACACACCCACACACCCACACACCCACCACACCCACACCCCCACACACACACGCACACACATGCATAAATACATACACACACACACACATGCCCATGTGCACCCCACCCCCCAACCACCCAACCACCCCTACCACACCCCCCACCACCCCCTACCACACCACCCTACCCCCACCCCCAACCACACCCCCACCACCCTGCCACCCTACCCCACCCCACGCCGCCCCAACCCCACCCCACCCATGCTTAAGCCACAATTTGTCAACACAGAGATCGAAGCCCCAAAACAGGAGCAAACCCAAGCCTATATATCGACCTGAAACCTTAAATTAATTCCAAAACCCGAAGACCCCCCCTTCCAAATAAAACTATATACTTATATAATCTGTAAACACATTAAACCATGCACTCCGCCAAGACATGTTGCCTGGACAAACAAGACTATAGATCGAATAGAATAACATTCCATGTCTGGACAGACACGGTATAGAGATTGAGTGTGTCTGGACAGACAAGGAAATTTTAAAGAGATTGATTAGTGTCTGGACAGACAAGGAAATTTTAAAGAGATTGATTAGTGTCTGGACAGACAAGGAAATTTTAAAGAGATTGATTAGTGTCTGGACAGACAAGGAAATTTTAAAGAGATTGAATAGTGTCTGGACAGACAAGGAAACAGAACAGACAGGAAGGATAGTCCTTTTCATACCAGAGTTTTGTCTCAAGAGATCGACAGCTAGGAACATAGCTTGAGAGATCGAGCCATGAAAAAGCCTGCAGCTGTGAAGGCGGTCGGGAAGGTTCTAAAGCCGATCCTGAAGAAGCCCTCGTTGCTTCTTCCTGTTGAGAAGAAGAAGGCGGCCAAGAAGGACGAGGAGAAGACGAAGCCCGAGGACACCACGAAGGACGAGAAGCCGCCCACGAAGAACAACAAGCAGTCCAAGAAGGAGCCGTCCAAGGAGGAGAAGAACGACAAGAAGCCCAAGAAGGAGCAGTCCAAGGAGCAGAAGAACGACAAGCAGTCCAAGAAGGAGCCCAAGGAGAAGAAGAACGACAAGACCAAGGAGTCGAAGGCAGGGCACGAGGAAGAGCACGTGGAGGACGAGGAAGAGCCGGAGGAGGAGCACGAGAAAGAGAACGACCCTGAGGTCAGCGAGCCGGAGAAGACGAAGGAGAAGTTCCCGCTGAGCTTGACGAACATCAAGACGCACTCCGAGTTGTTGGAGGTGAAAGGCTGGTCGGGCAAGGAGGTCTTCAACGCCTTTAAGATGTTGCCCTCGAGTGAACAACAGATGGTCTGGAAACTCTTTGAGAAAGGACGGCAAAAGGAAGGATGTGATGCATCCTACCGAGACCAGACAAGCGGTGCCGGTGGAAACAAGAGAAAGCAAGACATGTTGACCAGCTGGCTTCTTGATGAAGGGAAGTGCGGGAAGTACTACCAGAAAGCATGCTTGCAACTGACGAAGATGAGCTCGCACCAGGTTCAGGTGACTTGGGAACCCTGGAAAACCATGCAGAATCGCTACGGCAAGACGGAGGCATTGGCCCGCTTGAAGGCGGGAACCATGAAATGGAGAAGATCGAAGACAGACTCGAACTTTTTGGAGTTCGCCAACGTGCACGACAAGGAATCCGAAGGCTTTGAGAAAAGGAAGAGCTGCTCAGTGCAGGGCCCCGACAAGAAGGTCGGCAAGAACAGGGCTCTCGCCTTGGACAAGCTCACTTTCGAGGAGCTGCAGGACATGGAGCAGGTGAAGGAGATGAAGATCGACCCCGACTTGAAGTCTGTCATTACGAAGATGAATGATGACCAAGACCAGAGCTCCAGCGACGAGGAAGACAGCGAGTCCAGCCACGCGAAGAAGGTGACGATCACGAAGAAGAAGAAAACGAAGAGGACTTCCTCATCGTCGAAGTCGAAGGCGAAGAGCATGGATTGGGAGAAGTTGTCGCAGATTGAGGAGACAGACAACAAGAGTGAGTTCAACAAGAAGTTGACCCTCTTCAAGTCCGAGCTGCAGAAGGAAGAGACCTTCTTTGAGATGCTGCTCCTGGAGTCGAAGCTCAGGAAGAACGAGAAGAAGGACGTCCAGCAGAACCTGGAGGATCTGTCGAAGACCTTGAAACAGGTGGGGTCGGGCATTGAGAACCTCGCCAGTAAGGATGCTGTGAAAAAGAGCCTCCTGATGGCCCTCAAGTCGTTGAAGGCTTCGAAGAACCTGAAGAAGAACTTGGCAGTCTGCAAGGAGACCCAGACCAAGGACAAGAAGCTCAAGCGCCAGAGCAGTGATGCAGAGAGCTGAGCCCTTTCGATTTTGAGATCAATCGATTTGAACATAGGTTTTTGTGACCAAGCGGCTGAGGCAGACTGAAACTCGATCAGTCCTAGACCGAAGCCTTAAGACTTGGAGGTGCAGTCTCGCTTCCAAGAAGACCGAGACGAGTGCAGAATCAGGGCCGAGCCGTGAAAAAGCTTGAAGCAAGTTTGTTCATGCACGTTCACTTGCCATGTTTATTGCTTTTGATATTCGTCGTGGTAGGCAGATGCTGGAGAGGGAAATACACTTGAGTATGTAATGCCTGGACAGGCAGAATGTCGGTCGGCATATTGCAGTTCCTAAGCATTAATGCCTGGACAGGCACTTCCGAGCATTAATGCCTGGACAGGCAGGACATATACTGCACTTCCAGGCATTAATGCCTGGAAGTGCACTTCCGAGCATTAATGCCTGGACAGGCAGAATATATACTGCACTTCCAGGAATTAATGCCTGGAAGGCACTTCCGAGCATTAATGCCTGGACAGGCAAAATATATACTGCACTTCCAGGAATTAATGCCTGGACAGTCACTTCCGAGCATTAATGCCTGGACAGGCAGAATATATACTGCACTTCCAGGCATTAATGCCTGGACAGGCACTTCCGAGCATTAATGCCTGGACAGGCAGAATATATACTGCACTTCCAGGAATTAATGCCTGGAAGTGCACTTCCGAGCATTAATGCCTGGACAGGCAGAATATATACTGCACTTCCAGGAATTAATGCCCGGACAGGCACTTCCGAGCACTAATGCCTGAACAGGCAGAATATATTGCACTAGGCATTAATGCCTGGACAGGCACTTCCGAGCATTAATGCCTGGACAGGCAGAATTTGCTGCACTTCGAAGCATTAGTGCCTGGACAAGCAGAATGGAATCCGATGATATTTGATGCAGCTGCTCGAGCATGTTTTCGAAGATGTAGATTCACCCAAAGAGGTGAGAAGTGAGAGAGGCCATGGGGAAGAAGAGGAAGGCTAACCTTCTTGAACCGGCCCCGTCGCCTCTGAGACTCTTGTTACTGGAAGAGTTCGCTTTTGGACGACTTTCAGCTGCTCAAGTGCAAAAAATGGCGAGTGCAGCAGTTCGGAGCTGCAAAGAACCCAGCCCAGACCTGGCGAGTTTGCAGATGCTGGGAGGACAAGGCACTAGTGCTCAGAACTGCCACAGAGACTTGATGAAGATGCTGAATGTGTGCAGAGCGCCAGAAAGTACCTTGATCAGCACCCCGGTGTCCTTGAGAGACAAGAAATCTGGTGGTGCCGTGGTGGAGTCGAAGCAGGTGCCTTTGCTTCTTCCCCACGAGTGGTTCGATGTGCTGGAGAAGAACGATGTGCTGGAGATGTTCACTGCAACTTGGCGAGTACTTTGAGCTTTGAGTTTTGTGTTTTTTGCAGGTTTTTTTTGGCAGGGTTTTCTCAGTGGTTAAGGATAGAGTTTAACTTTGATTCGCTGCTATTGGCTTTTTCAGAAATATAAGGCAACAAAGAATGAGATCCGAGAATTTTGGCAATGCCAAAACTTTCGAGAAAATGAACAGCTGTGGAGAAGCAGACAGTTCTGGAGAGACGTGAATGTGATGGAATCGCTACCGGTTCCGTTGATCCTCCACGGCGATCACGCCTCTTTCAGCGAGACAGATTCGCTCTTGATTATAAGCATGCGATGCATGATAACCAAGAGGTCGATTAAGACCTCGGAATTGCTGATCGGCTGTTTGCCGAAATCAGCAAATGCTGGATCGTGGCCAGCTTTGTGGGACAAAATCTGTGAAAGTTTGACACTGTTGGCCTCGCGACACAAAGCTGTGGTCATGGCTTTGGTAGGAGACTTGGAGTTCTTCTCGCAAGAATTCGGATGGCCTACTGCGAACAGCAATAATTTGTGTCCTTACTGCAAGTGTGACAACCTTTTCAAAGATGCAGATGCTGTCGCCCCGTTCAATGACTTCAGAGCAAGTGCTGAGTGGAGAAAGCAACCCAGAGATCCAAGAGAAAATGATCACCCTTTGTTTAAAGTTCCAGGGATCAATTTTTGGTCCCCGAAACTTGATGTGTTGCACATGCTAGACCTTGGAGTCAGTTCGCATTTTTATGGAAACTTGATCAACGACATCTTGGAGGACCACCTACCTGGGAGCTTCGCTGCATCCATTGGAGCTTTGAACTCAAGAATCCAGGAGCTGTACGAGAGTCAGTCGACCCCAGCTGCTGCCAGAATCCCGAAGTTGAGCAAAGGGAACATTCAAAGTCAGACTGGGTACCCGTGCTTGAGCCATGTGAAAGGGCGACGAATACGAGAGTTCTCGAGTGTGGCTGTGGGGTTGGCAGACTTGTACAAGGATACAGTGGCAGGAAAGCATCGTCTTGAAGCAGTGAAGGCCATGGACGAGATTTACGAGCTGTGTGACTGCCAGAAGTATCGCTTTGACAGAAAGGAGTAGCTTGCATGCATGTGAAATGAATTGAACTTTGAGCTTTGTGGTTTTCCCATATACCAAGTCCTGAACCTTGAAATAAACCGCATAAAGGTTAACATAAACGGCAGACTTTTGTTGTTGTTATATTGGATACCAGGCACAGAAGCATGGAGAAGGCGATTGACAGATTGCTCCTGCACTACACTTTCTTGAGCAGAGATGCTTTCAACAGAGGAAAGAAGAGGTACAGTGTCACCCAGAAGTTCCACTTGATGGCACATTTTCATGTTCAGTGTAAATGGATGGCACCCAGACTTGCTTGGACCTATGGCCCTGAGAGTTTCATGTCGGTGTGCAAGAAAATCGCTGCTTCATGTGATAGAGGAACGCCGAGCTACCAGATTCCACTGAAGATTTGTGGAAAATTCGCCTTAGCTTACGAGCTCCTGCTGCGAGGATGGCTGAATCTGGATGAAGATGAGGAGTGAGGAGAAAAAAAACGTGCTCAATAAGATTGAATCAATGTCTGGACAGACAAGTCATGCATGGTGCATGTTGTGTTTTAGGATGAAGTCGACAGGGCTGAATCAATGTCTGGACAGACATGTCGTGCATGGTGCATCTTGTGTTTAGCATATAATTTCATGGCTGAATCAATGTCTGGACAGACAGGAAAAGTAGCACACAAAGCAACCTAGTAAATAAAAAAGGTTTGCCAAGACCATCAATGTCTGGACAGACAGGAAAAAGTAGCACACAAAACAACCTGGTAAATAAAAAGGTCTGGCCAGACCATCCAGGATCCAGAAATCTTGAGCCGTATAAACCCTAGAAGGTCTATCCAGACCAGGCCAGGCATCCAGAATCTGTCCAGACTCACGGTTTAAGGTTTTAGGGCTTATTGTTTAGGGTTTATGGTTTAAGGTTTAGGTCTGTCCAGACCATTAAGATTTGCCCACACTCACGGTTTACGGTTTATGGTTTAGAGTTTATGGTTTAAGGTTTAGGGCTTAGGGATCAGGGTTTGGGGTTTAAGGAACAAAGGTCTGTCCAGACCAAGCATTAATAATCTGTCCAGACTCACGGTTTAGGGTTTATGGTTTAGAGTTTATGGTTTAAGGTTTAGGGCTTAGGGATCAGGGTTTTGGGTCTACGGTTTAGAGAAAAAGGTCTGTCCAGACCAGGCACCAAGAATCTGTCCAGACTCGTTAACCCTATACTAAGAAAGAAGGTCTATCCAGACCAGGCATCAAGAATCTGTCCAGACTCTTGAAACCCTACATATAATAACCTATAAGCCCTAAACCATAAACCCCAAACCCCGGACCCTGAACCACAAACCCCGGCCTAAACCCCAAGCCCCCTAAACCCCATACCCCTATAGGCCCTAACCCCTATGTATATATGATATACATGTATGTATGTATGTATGTATGTATATGTATGTATGTGAATATATAGGCCCAAACCCTATGCGCCGAAACCCCTAAACCCCAAAACCCCTATAGGCCATAAACCCTATATATAGAAACCGCATAACCCGATAACCTGAACCCCAACTTAAACCCTATAAACATCAAACCCGGAACCACAAAAATCAAAACCTGCACTGAAACAATCTACATCTATCTATCTATGCATCCATCTATCTGTCTATCTATATCGATCTATGTTTCTTTACATATCTTCACATATCTCTATATATCTTTATATGTCTTTATCTATTTATCTATCTATCTAGATATAAAATCCACAGTTGCCTCGATATGCTATATATACATATATGTGTATGTATGTATGTATGTATGTATGTATGTATGTATGTATGTATGTATGTATGTATGTATGTATGTGTATATATATATATATATATGTATATATGTATATATATATATATGTATATGTATATGTATACATATATATATATAGGCATATGTATATACACATACATACATAATATATATATATATATATATATATATATATATATATATATCAGTTTTGTTAGACAGGACAATACGAAATTTTGCGATGTCTACGATTGATTTTTAACATCCTACGCTCGATTCTTCGCTCGATTCCTCGATTGAATTTATGAAGGTCCCCGCTCGATTCCTCGATTGAATTTATACTTCGTGTACTATGTGGATCCTCGATTGATTTTATCAATCGAACGCTTGAATTTTTTTGTTTTTCGATCGGCGCTTGAAAACACCATCCTCGCTCGAAAAAAATCAATCGGAGAGCCTTTGGGTTGCTGGGACACAGACTCTGACTCCGTCAATTCGTAGCGCTGCAGCCCACCAGTTCTGCGTTTCTTCTTCCTCGACTCAGACTCTGACTCTGTCAATTCGTACCGCTGCAGCGGAATATTGCGTTGAATACGTCGTTCTGGGATACTTTGACTGCTGGAGCTGGGAGCTCCATTCATGAAGCCTTGCAGATCGAACTGCGGCGGCATAGCTGCTGTGTTCCTGACTTAATTCTCAAGTCATGCTGCCCTGAGCCATGTTCATTGTATTCAGGATTGGTCTGACATTGGTTTCATCCTATTGTAGGTCTACTTGACTCCCCGGTTCAGTCATACTGAGCCACACAAACAGAGCAATGAGCTTCCACAAGCTTGCTGCAAAAGTGCCGGACAACCGATTGCATTGCGGGCGATTCCGCAACTGAGACGCATTTCTTTTATGTGCGCGACTCTCCTAACACATGCGTGACATCTACCGCACTGCACAAAACGCAAATGGCGGCCCCGATGCTTCGAAAGTGCATCATGTTGCCTCCCAAATCATGGAGATCCTGCAAGATTGAAGCTCTGGTGTCCCAATGCATGGATATGGCCAAAAAGGAAACATACTGCTGCCCTGGGACACGCTCTGACAGGTTCTCCAGACTCAGCTTGTTGATGGGAGCGCCCATCAGCAGCATCACCTCTCTGCCTGTCAAAATACCCGATGGATGAAATTGCCTCATGTTGCCTCCCAACTCATGGAGCTCCTACATATGGACTGCAGGCCTAGTAAATATCGTTGATGTTTTCCCAGAACCAGGAATCGGCCGCCAGGTGTGAGGCACTGTAGCGGCCTGCATCGATTCTCTGGGCAAGACAATGGCAACTGCCTCACACCCTGGCCTTCCTTTCTTCATGACATGCGTTCGTCGCAGAGACTGCGACGTGTTGACCATTTCCATTGAGCCTGACAACTCAGGCAACAGTCAGCTTGCCTTCTTGCTTGTCAGTGACTGGCCTCCGTTCTTTGCCCAGACCAAGTCCAAGAGGTCCATTTCCCTTGTTGTTGAAACTTGGGATGCTGCTTTCGGGCAAGCAGCTTCGAAGCAGCCATGGGCTCGCTTCCTGGATACCTTAAGTCAATGTGTCCGAAGGTAATAATGGGAACCCGAAACCCTGAACCGAGGACCAAGCGTTGTTCTCTCTTGCCCAGATGTTGTGTTGTGCAGGCCACTTCACGTGCTTCTTCTTTGTGTTCCTGTCTCGACGAGGGAACTACATACCGGAACACATGTTTTTTGGCTGCTACATTATTGCGATCCTGCGTCTTGTTCTTCCATGACTTCGTCTCTCCCTCGCGTGGCACACCGCTGGGTGAGAACTGTGCAACAAGAGGTCTGTCCTTGGAAAGCATGACATGCATAACGGCACTGAACCTGCATCTGCATCAAAACAAAGCCAAGTCTCCAGGAGTATTTTGGTTTGCAATGCATTTCCCTGAGAACTTCCTCTGTGTAGGACTGAAAGTTCTGCTTGGCGTCGGAATGCAAGCAATCCCGTCTGGCCAACAGAATATACAGTCGTTTGCGACTGATCGGGCTTCCATGCTGCAGCCTTGCTCTGGTGGCGTCTGACACTCAGTTGGCGAATCTTATGTGCAGCTCGAGCGCGGATCTATCATCAACACTGCCATTTCATACCTCGATCAGGCCATGTTCAAGCTGAGCCGTCGACGGATTTGATTGCTGTAGCCAAGCGTCGTTCGTAGCTGTGATTTCACAGTCTGCTTGAAGATCTTCATACATCGCTCGAACCCCATGACATTCTCCAAGATAACCATCTCAGTTGCTTGCTTGACATTCTCCAAGACAGCCATCATCTCAGTTGCTTGATCATGTTGACAAGTTGCTGGGGGGTTTATTACCTTGATGTTCCTGATTGTTTTCCATAGCTGCTTCGCATTCTTATCTTCCAGCATCTTGGATAAATGATGGAGCATCGAAAATGGAGTGCATGGGAAGCCAGACACATAGAGGGATACCTGCACATTGTTTGCAATGTCACTGACAGACTTCCTGCAGGTCCGGCCGGCCTTGTCTTGCAACCAACTAACATTCGCTTTCAACATATCGTCTGCAAGCCTGAGTGACTTCATGTGCTTGGACTGGATAGCACAGACTTGCCAAGCAGCCTCCCCGGAAACTGAGTCACAGCGGGACTCCTTCAAAGTCGAAGTTCCTTTGCAGAAACTCTCGTGCACTTCTTTTTCGTTCACTTCCTGACCTTAGCAGCAACCCAGAAAACCTTAGGATGGTACTACTTGCAAGTCCATGTTCAGATGAGGTACAAATGAGCGACCTGTTCCTTTCCCAAGAGCATACGTAACACCATCAGAGGTGTTTCTGTTCCACTGCCTGAGGTTCCGCTTACAGGGCTGACGCATGAGGGCTCAGAGCCGATGTGCCAAGTGGCAATCCGACACATAAGTAAGAGTTCGTTCCTGCATGTCTTTTTTGAAGCGGGCCATTCCTGCCGAGATACTTAAGGCTGCACTGTGCAATGGAACTCAGGTTTCAGGCCTGGACACAGTCGTAGAAAATCACCGGCGAAGTCCAAGTAGTTGAGTTGATTATCACTCAACTTGTCGTTGGACTCCGGGTCCAGCTCCTCCATGTTCAAATTCATGATATTCCTTTCCTACAGCTGTCGCCAGTTCTCCTTCGACGTGCTGCTGCTGCTGCTGCTGCTAGAGATGCGCCGTAGTATCGTCATGGCAATGGAAAAGATGGCTAATTTCCGTCGGATGTCTGAATCTGTCTGTTTACTTGTGAATCTACATTGCTTTGGGCCTGGATTGCCGTGATGCCAGGCAAGCATGCTTCCAACTAACTTCTGGTGCAAGCATAACAGCTGAGTGCCTTGCCACCTGCTTGCATTCTTGCGTGCTGTAGCAGACCTTGGATGTAACTACGTGGTGTTCTTCCCAAACCATCCAGAACAAGGTGACTGAGGCGTTGGCACGATACTTGAACTGGTCCACCCCATGTCTCCATTTCCCAGCCTGGTGGGAAACTTGAATGAACCACACCAGATTAAACAATAAACTTGCCTCAGGATGGGGCAAAACCAAGTAGGCCACACCTGTGCGAGCAGCGCAAAGCAATCTTGTTACGGGTTCGACCAGGGGGCATGAAAGACACAAAGCATCGCCGGAAGGTTTTTTGCCTCAGCGTACTGTCTGCTGAGTGATGATTT